TATAAACATTACCCCATTTAAATTATTATATTTTCATGATTAATTACAATTATTGATGTCATTGACTTTATGTGACTAAACTTAATATCACTAGACATTTTCATAATTAAGAATGTTGTGGCGATTACTTAATTACTCAAATGTAAACTTAAATATGACATCAAAATTATTAACTAAACATTACATCAATTATCAATTCTTTATATTAAGGAAAACTAAAATATGCATAGAAAATTAATTATGTATAACAATCCTAAATAAATTTGTACAAGTAGTAATTTGCAAAGAAAAACAAACTAATAAGCCCAAAATGTCAAAAATGACTATTTAAATGAATTCAACTCATACCCAGAAGCCAAAGTCAAGCCCAGACAACCGAAAAAGGCCTCTCCTTGATTAAAACAACACGTCGTTTTTTTTTTAAGTGTTCAAAACGACATGTTGTTTTTCTCGGTTCAAGTGACTCTTTTGTGACAAAACGACACGTGTTTTCTTAGAGGAAGGAAACGACATATCATTTTGAAGTGTCTTAACCTTCAATAGTGTTTGCAACCAGATACCCGACCTGAAAATGACCCATTATAAACCCAAAACTTTGAAATGCAATATCTCAGTCATTATAAGTCTGTTTTTGACAATTCAATAGTTGTTTTTCTCACAATTGCATAAGGAATTTAATCCTCCAAATACACACACACACACACACACACACACACACACACACATATATATATATGGAAGAATCACAAACCTTAATGAATGAAAAACACATTCTAGCAACAATTCAACATAATCATTGATAATAGCAATCAAAGAAATCCAAATAAAAAAATTTAACGGAACCAAAAACTAGACGAGATATTGCTCTCATACCAAATGTAAGCAATATGTCATCAATTTTAATAAACTAAAGTGAGGCCAAAAACACATGTCTCTTGCCATAGCAACAGATTCCAATATTAAGAAATCACATACACCAAATATTTGAGAATTTTTAGTCTAGTCTATCGAAGACCTTAATCCATGCAATTGATAGAGATATCACAAACTTTTCTTTGTTAGACTAGAGACCCTTTTCTTTGTAGAAAATATAACGTATGTTGTTCTATAGACTTCTTTCCTATGAAAAGAAGAAACATTATAGGATAGGCATTATGTCTTCCCACATGTCCCGCTATCCACTATCTAAGGGAAAAATAATTGATATGAGGAGTAATTTATTTAAATATTAAAAAAGAATAATGGGCCACAGAAATTAATATTTTTATTTAAAAAATAAAAAAACAGTAACTAACAAAATGTACTAAATTGGCAAACAGTACAAACCACGGTGGGAAAACCCACGGCATAAAACAAAGTCACCGATCACAAATCTAATATGAAGATAAAGGGGATGTCACAATGGGTTAAACACATCTCGTTGTAAGAGGTTAAGAGGTGGCGCTGCTAATTACAAGGGTGGTCAGGAGGTGAAAATAGTGGCAGGTTACAAGGCGGCGATGGGAGCAAAACTAGAAGGGGTGGGTTGTGGAGATTGGTGGAGTGTGGTTATGGTTATGACAAAAAAGATTTTGTGAATGAAGATTAGTCCAGCAAAAATTATTTTAATGTTAATAGATTATGTAAAATTAATCCATTTTGATTTATTTATTTTATTTAAAATAAATAAATGTTCAACCTCATCTAAAAACTTTTTAGGAGGTTTTTATAATTTAAATGTTTTATGTAGTAATGGAACCGAAAGTCATATATGCCCTTTTGTCTATTCATTTCATTCTAACGTCCGTGAGTTTAGAGGACGATTTTGAAAGTTTAAAATTAATGTGTCCTTCGTAAGATCAGAACAATAGGGACTAACATGTCACACGCGGATTCTTTTAATATATATGGGGAATGGTATATTCACCCTTAGATTTGGACTAAATAACAGAGAAGCCCTATATAAAATCCACAATAATTTTGATAGACGTTATCAACAAATAGTATTTTATCAAAAAATTTACCTTTTATTTTGTTTGGGTTAACTGTGGCAGCTGAAAAGCGACCTTGGCACCGGATGTGTAAGGCATGTTATAAACGTTAAGTAATACTATATTTACACCACCCATTACATCATTTTTATTACAACATCACCATTTTACTAATAATTATTTTATTATAATATTAAAAATTTTAAATAATTAAAAATTTGTGTGAATGTGGGATATGCCACATCATGATGTAATGGGTGATGTAAATGTAGCATTACTCTATAAACGCCACGTTAAAGAAACATTATGTGCAGTCAATCTTGTAATATCGGATGATAGATGTAACACAAAAGCATAGATCAAAGCCTCCTCTTTTCTCACGAGTTGGAGGTGTCGTTGTAAGGACAACGCTAGTTACAGTTGTTGCCGTAACATGCCCTTTTATAATGAATTATAGTTGTTGCCATAACATGCCCTTTTACAAACACTGATATGACAACTCACAATTAGTCAATTCGCATTTGGTTAGGTAGGACCCATTACGAGCTGATCAATTATGAGTTGACACGTCGTATTTGTCAGAGAAAATTAGTGAGAAGGGTTTGTGAGTGTAGTATTAAGGGTGTTCAAAAAAATGTAAAAAACTGAATCGAACCGAAAAACCGGTTCGGTTACAGTTTAAAGAATTTAAAAAACTAGATTTTAAGTTCGGTTTCTGGTTTGGGTGAAAATGCAAACTGATTAATTGAAACTGATTATACTAACCGGTTTATATATATATATAAAATAAAAAAATAATCTTAATGGATATTATATATTAAAATAAAATAAAAATTAAATTTATTTATATCAATTTTTAATGTATTGTTAGTTGTGGACAATTGATATATATGAATGTTTTATTTTTATTTGGATATATATTGTGTTTACAATTTAATTCCGGATTTTTTTTTTTAAAAAAAAAAGTTTAAATCAATTTTAGGGGAAAACCAGTTCAAAACCGGTTAGCCAATTTTTTCAAAGCGATTAACTAATTTTTCGGTTAACTGAAAAACCGGTTTTCCCCTAAATCAATTTGGTTTCGATTCAGGAATTTTTTTGAACTGAAAACCGATTCGATTCACCGATTAACCGTTTTTTAGCACCCCTATGTAGTATTACTGCAGATCATTTGTGATTCAATAACCTACCTTATATATATTATATGATTTTGTGATCCATGATTTCTAAATTTCGAATAATGTATTATTCTATTATAACTTTTAAGTCAAAATTTAAGTTAAATTGAATATATGAGATAATGTTTTCTGTATTTAAGATTTTACATTCACTACTCAAGAAGTTGAGTTCAATTAATTATAATTAATCCATAATTTCATGTCATAGGTTTATTATGGGTTATATTTTACAATAGTACTATGCTTACTCACGATCTTACTACGGGTACCATAAGCATAGTACGGGTACTATATGTAATTTTAATAAATGTGAGTAAGACGTTAGAAAGTTCGTGAGTAAGCATAGCATTACTCTATATTTTAAAGGGTTTATAAGGGGATACCATATTCACCCATTATTTTTTACCTAAATTAAATTAGCCCAATATAATCTGATAGTAACAAATTCACCCATAATTTTAATAGACGTTATAAAAAACCGCAATTTTAACAAAATCTTTTTAGTAAATCACCTTTTTTATTTGGGATAAAGGTGGCAGTCGAAAAACCGCCACGGCACTAAATGCATGAGGCACATTGTGGAGATCACATCAAAGAAACTTAGTATGGATTCAATTTTTATACCTTTAAAATAGTATTTTAACACAATATTTTAAGTAAATTATATTTTTTATTTTTGTCAACTGTAACAGTTAAAAAGCTAGTGGCAATAATAAGGATGATCATTAGAGTTCTTCTTTGATTAACAGTTTGAAAACTCTATAAATTAGTTGAGATACGTATAAGTTGGTTTAGACACTTCTAACAATAAAAGAAAAAAGTCACCAAAGCACTAAATACATGAGGCACATTAAGGAGATCGCCTCAAAAAAATATCGTCGGATATCAATTCTTCAATAATTAGATGATGGATGTAGCACAAAAGAATAGATTAAGGGTTTCTTTATCTTCACAATCCGAAAATGTCGTTGTTGGCATCGTCGGAATAGTAACATAAATTTTTATAATATTTCAATTATTCATATTTTATTTTTGTATTAATTTGTAAGATAACTAACATTATACTGTATATATTTCTTTTAAGGTCAAATTAAAAATTTTAATTCAAAGTAGGGGTAAAAATTTTTTTTATACATTAACCCGTTAAAAAATTAACCGTATTTATATTAGGATTAGGAATTTGAAACTAGTCTTTTTGTGAAAGTTCTTCTCCAAACAACAGGGACATCAGCGGCTTTTTCTGTTTACACAATACGCAAATATTTTATATATTTTCTCCTCCCAGTGAAACTGAAATTATATCAGAGGGTTTTGCTAGGGTTTTTGTTTCGGCTATCAATTATATCTTTCCCAAATTCTGTTTAAAATTGGAGTTTTCTCAAGAACCAAACACCTCCAAACCCCATCAGAAATGTCGTGCACTAGCTGCTGGTCAAAATCTCTAACCCACGATGACATATCCGGCAACCTGATTTGCGCATCGTGCGGTACGGTCCAATCATTCGACAATTTTGACCCCCAAACCTACGGTCGNAATAACATAGTAAAATTCCGACCATTAATTAAAAATCAACAGTGATGATTTTGTTACGTTTTTCGATACACAGATTCGGTTTATCTATATAATTCTTTTGTGAAAGTACTTCTCCAAATCCAACAACAGGGACTCAGCGGCTTTTTCTGTTTACACAAAACGCAAATATTTTAATATATTTTCTCCTCCCAGTGAAACTGAAATTATATCAGAGGGTTTTGCTAGGGTTTTTGTTTCAGCTATCAATTATATCTTTCCCAAATTCTGTTTAAAATTGGAGTTTTCTCAAGAACCAAACACCTCCAAACCCCATCAGAAATGTCGTGCACTAGCTGCTGGTCAAAATCTCTAACCCACGATGACATATCCGGCAACCTGATTTGCGCATCGTGCGGTACGGTCCAATCATTCGACAATTTTGACCCCCAAACCTACGGTCGCGATGGCCCTATCGGAACTTACATCCACGTCGGTTCTGCAGGTACCGGCTCCGTCCTAAACTATAAAGATAAAAAAGTTTACGAATCTAAGAAATTAATCGATGAATATACTTATAAATTAAATTTGACCGGTCAAAGATCCGTGGATGTCAAAAACATGATTAATAAAATCACTGAGGGTGAATTTGGGTTAGGGGAGTGGTTTCCGATTTTAATCGGTGCGTGTGGTTATATTGTTATGAGAATGGAGAATAAATCTTTACCTCTGGGTGAGGTTGCGTCTGTTTTGAATTGTGATGTGCATGAATTAGGAAGAATGGTTACGCGTGTGGTTGAGTTTTTGAATTTGAAGTTGCCTGAATTTGATATTGTGATTATGTTTGAGAAAGTGTTTAGTAACTCGAAATTGTCAAAATTGGTTGAATTGGAGAGGGATAAGTTGGAGCAGATGAGACAACAAGGAGTGTTTTTGTTGAATTGTGCAGTGAAGTGGTTTTTGACGACTGGGAGGAGACCAATGCCATTGGTGGCAGCTGTTTTGGTGTTTGTTGCAGAGTTGAATGGGGTTGGATTGAGGATTGAGGATGTTGCCAAGGAGGTACATTGTGTGCTTGGAACATGTAGAAAGAGATACTCAGAGTTGTTGGAAGCGCTTGTGAAGGTGGCTCAAGCGTTGCCATGGGGAAAGGATGTGAATGTAAAGAACATAGTGAAGAATGCACCTTTTGTAATGCGTTATATGGAGTTGAAGTCCCGGGAGAAGAAAAAAGAAGACAGGGAAGGGCTAAAGTGTGGTGCGGTTGATTTTGATGATGTGGTTAGGGAGTGTTTGGAAAAAGATTTTGAGTATGGGATTGATGAGGATAAGGTGGAAAGTGATGCTCAGTATTTTGATATGGATGATAGAAGTGGGTTGACTAGAAGAGGGATTGGAAATGGTGATAAGTTTGAGCTTTCTCATGAATGCTTGGGAATGATTTATGCTAAGTTTTCAAATGAGATTGATGGTCGGAGGTTATTAGGAGAGAGTGAAGAGTTACATGGAAGGAAGAGAAGGAGAGGGTTTGAGCGTAGTGCTTGTAGGAAATGGTGGAATGGAAAATCAGAAATGAGCCAGAAACTTATGCTTAAGAAAATTTTGGAGAAAGATGTAGGGCTGGATGTTATGCCTCCGTCATTTGTTAATGGCTGCATGGCAAATGAGAAGAGGAGAGCAAAGATAAATTCTGCGAAGGTAAGGATTAATAAGATTATGGATCCATCCAGAGCTGAATCAGCTGATACATGTGACAATGACAATGTTGCCCCTTCGGAATGTGTACTTAGTGGGAAGAGAAAAAAGAGAAAACGAATTGGGGAAATTGATTGGGAAGACTTTATTATTGAGATGCTCCTCCTCCATCAGGTGAAAGAGGAGGATATTGAGACAGGACATTACAATACCCTGTTGGCCTTGCATGTTCAACTGTGAGGATATGTGAAGGGTTCACCAATGAGAGCATCCAAAAACAATCACATGTTTTTTTTGCTACATGACTGAAGAGACCTTTTGGAACAGATTTTTGTTAGCTCTTACAGCAACAAGAAAGTTCTAATTTGATGCTGATTCCCACAGCAACAGTTGTTGCCTCTGTGTGGAAGAGAGGACAGAATAGTGAGGGGTATTATAGGAATTATTTAGTGGTGGCTGCAGAAGCTACAGCCACGGATTGTGAGGAAGAGGAGGCAGAAGAAGAAGAGGATGAGAATGAAGAGAATTTAGGTGTTAAGAGATTGACAAAGACGATAGAGAGTGGAGGCAGAGGAGTGGAGACAGATGGTGGAATTGGAGAAGCAGGAGTTTGGAGATGCAGAGTTGAGGATATTTGCAGATGCAGATTCATTTGGAGAGGAACAAGCATACCAAGAACTTTAGCTCCAATGGTGAGAGATATCATTGATTAGTGATGATCGTTTGTTGCAATTAATTATTAGTTAGACGGTTAATTTCTTAGTTGTATAAAAAATGATGGGCCAACTCTTGTTAATTAGTTGTTATTGTATAGTTTACTTGGTGCAATGTGATTAATCTATTGCCTTTGTGTATTTGGGGGATTGTGTTGCACTATAGAATGAAAAATCTACATTGTATTAGTGAATTTTTTCGAGTTTATTGAAGTCAAACAAGCATTTTTCTAACTTGCCATGACAGAGGCTTGGGTTCACCTCTGTAACTGTCACATTCCCGTGTAATCCTACCTGTCATTTTGTTGTTAGAAGTTAGAACTAGACTAAAGTTAAAATTGTTATGCATACTTTAGAGATGCTTATTTTGGTGAAATAACACTTTAAATTGGTAATAAGAGTTACAAAGTTTTATGTTATGGTTTGTGAGAAAAGTGTAAAAGTGCTTTTTAGAAGAGCATTCTAAAACGTAAATCTGTTAGTCACAAATAGAGCTCTTGTCAAGTTGCAAGCAGTTTTTGAGGTCTCTCTTATACTGAACCATTTAAAACTCAGTTCTTGGTTGTTTATGAATTTACACAAGTCACAAACCTGTTTAATGTGAGCTTTGGTATGTAATGATACTAATGTCAAATGTTTCAGTATAAAAAACAAAATTAACTAAAATGTTAGTCAATTGGATTGACAATAAACATGTTCCTGTACTGGAAAGAAGAGGTGAACTATAAAAGAAGAAAATTTTGGTAAAAATAACACTAATCCCACCAAGTTAGTTAAGATTAATAAAAATAATGAGTAGAATATTAAATATTTATAACATAACATACCATTCATAGATGGAAGGATGTAATTCTAAGGGTCCAATGCCAAGAGGAAGAATAAGTATTGAGGGCAAACTAATTCCAAATGAAAATCAATTCATAAAGTTGTTTATTTAAAAGGGATTGGACTGCACTAACAGATTCACATTTGAATCTTTGTAGAAATAAGGGTTTCTTCATAAGAACAACTTTTTTTTTTTTTTTTTTTTGGTATCTGGTAGTTTTATAATAATAAAAAAAGAATTACAATCTAAAGGGGACTCCCCTTTAGAACCAAGCCCTCAGACACACCCAAGGGCAAGACTAAACAAATGAAGAAAAAACTACCAAGGTTAAACCAACCTTAGCGACAAAGCAACTTAGCTAGATCCTAGGAAATCTATACAAAAGGCTCAAACATCTGGCCCGGCCGAACTATCCATCCCTGGTGAAACCATAGCCTGCCTCCCACGGCTATTGGAGGCTCCCCCATCTATCCCAACTTGCATAAACCTTGATATCGATGCCATATCTGACTCTACTTCCTTGCCATCAATTTTGAATTCGTTATCAGCTTCCGTCCCATTGCCATTTGCTACCTCTAACAGCGGAGAAGCTTCGATGACCCTCAACTCTGTATCCTATACCTCCATTGAATCAATGGCTAAGCATTGGAAAGAATTGCCAGTTCTAGTAGTGTGCTTTGCCTCACGTGGGCGATTCGAACGTGGAAAGCCGGGAAGACATCACCATAGGCCTATGAGCGGGTTTCGGTCGGGCTGGAACGACTACTAGTTGTTTCCCCTTCCCCTGGTGAGTAACAGTCTGAAAAGCGAAAACCATCCTCATCAACAACTGTGATCTTCCCTTTGAGCTTTGTGAGCAGACATCCATATATGTTGATCTAAAGCGTATATAATTTGAGAATGATCACATAGCACAATCTGAACATTTTTGCAATGAGCTAATGATAATAGCAACAGAGCAGCAACAAATCAGTTGCCATTGGTTATTTCTCAAGCAAAAGAATAAAAGTTCAATGGTGACACAACCCCACAAAAGCTAAAAGATGGGTTAATTTCATATTTGGATCTTTGTTTTTAAAGGAACTGAGAATATTATGTCATTGCAGATTAAACATATAAATTAACAGTAGGAAATGGCTTGATACTACCATCCTCCTAATTATAAATTCCCATATCTTTCCCTCCTCCATTTCGCTCAAACCAATATCCTTCTAAATAGTCATCAGTGAAGTATATGCGGTCAGGCTTGCATCCAGATGCCTCATATGCTCCAATTCAATTCAGAATGAAGAATTATGGCCTAAAAACAGAGATCTGTTCCCCAAATTCTTGACTTTCATCCATGTCTTTGTGCTTATGTGAAACACAAAAACTTTGAACCCTGGACTTTTATTAGTAGTCCACCTTTCTTGTACAACCATAAGCATAACTCCTCCTGATTCCACAAGATAACTTTCGGGCAACCACCCAGGCAGTGGAAACTGTGAAACTTGCTCTACTGTGATGGTGTTGTCACTACCAATATGATATGTTTTAAGTTCACCAAGATAATTTATAGCATAAAACTGTCCACGGTGGTATAAAACATCCCAAAACTTGCCATCCTCAAAGTCTAATATGTTCCGAACTTTTATCACCTGGCCTAAAATATGCCAATTTCCCAATTCCTCCAAAAATAAACACTACGGTATAATCCGAAGTCAATAAAGGACTCGGTGACGATATACGAATTTATAAACAAAAAAACAAACATGCTTTTTCCAAGTAGAATACTCGTGCCATTTTTGGATGGTCTTTACATTTAATTTGAATATGGGGTTTGGAAAAAGGAGGTAAAAACTAATGCTCAAATCTGGAGCTACTGTAATAAGCCAATTCTTTGAATAAAAACAATTTTTGGCGTTGGTTTCTGGTAGTAACTGAACGATTTATACCTTTTGGGATAAGATGGAAATCACCAACATCGCTGGTGTAAGAAGAAGCCATGGAAACTGAATAGACTCGAATTTGAAATTCTCTTCAACTGCAACACTACTCCATGACCTGCAACCACAACTAGAAGTAACAAAATCCTCCCGCAATCTTATTCGCCTAACAATTTCAGCCAAAAGATCTTGATCAAGTTTTGCCCAATCGAAAACAGAGTTACGAAAATAGAAAAGAGGAATAAAAGATAAACAGGGTAATTAGACGTGTTTACCTGGACAAAAATACTGTAGAAAAGGGATGCAAAAGATTCATATTCAAACGGGGGGCAAGAGAAATAATCCAACCTTTAGAAGAATAAACACCTGTTGGCGTTGGCTTCAGGAAATGAAACTTTACAAGTCCTAGCTTTTGCGACAGCGTATATTAGTGCATCGTTTTGGTGGAAGAAATAAACTGTCTTCATCATATAGCATATTCAAATGCATGGGACTTTTCAGAATTTCTCGTGGGGTTTGTAAATCATGGAAATCTGCATAAGTCCTTCCAGATTCCATGGCTTCTTCTTCATCACATATTTTATAAGTAATTCATTTAGCATCATTCCATTTCTGATTGGTCCTTCGATGCTAAATGAAGCTTAGTTCCATTTGTCCAATCATAGATTCTCCTGGCGGAAAACCAACATTGTGGTTAATTAACATTAATTAACACCAAGGGAGGTGATGGTTATTTTTGAAAATTTTGGGGAGCGTAGAGTTATTTTACGAAACCTCAGCGGGGGTTAGTGAATTTTTCCATAGAAACGGTTTCCTTAATGGGTTTGATTTATCGGATTCACCCCTACCGAAACCTCTGCAACAACGTAAGCAAAATGTCTTAAATTTTCTCAGAAAAATTCCCATTCTTTTCTCGAATTCGATCGGACGCTTTGTTTACTTTCAGAGTTTCTGCTGCTTCTCTTTGTCTCCTTTGACCATCCGTTTGCTATCACCGTCTTGTTCGGCTGAGTTCGGCTGAGTTGTTAAACGAACCCGACTGAGGATGGGGTGTTGTGTGAGCAAAAACGCCGAGTTGAAAGCCAGTCAGGTTTCTCGGTGGCGGTCAACGGGCATTGTCGCTTTACGCGACGACAAATTGAAGGTAAGTAGCCCCTTTGAACCACTTTAATTCATGTTTTTTAATCAAAATTTTGTGACAATGTTACTATTATATTTAAATTTGTGTGTTTTAGTTATAGGTTTAGAATCACTCTGTTTATTGACTGAATTGTTCCATAAACCAATTAGAGTTTTTTGGTTTGATTTGGCGACCATGTAGAATTGTTAGTGTTAGGAGTGAATGTGAATTAAGTTAATGGAATTGGACGAAATTAAAGTACCTGTAATATACTGTGTAGAAACTATTATGGATATTGTTAATCAGTAAGTTTTTTTTTTTTTTTTTTTAAATTTCATATGAATTCTTTTGCTACATGGAAATAAAATTTGTCTTTCATGGGATGGGGTTTGATTAATTTTGTTCAAAGTAATCAACAAATGAGGAAAGGAAAGTGGATCATTTATCTTGGGTGCATTAACTTCAGCAAGTAGAGTCTAGGCTATATTGTGATTTATGTAAGGTTCAGCATTTGCGGAGAAAGTTTGGTGAAATAAGTAGTTAATTGATTTGTGTAGGAATAGGATAATTTTGGTTATCTGTTATAGCATTATACCTGTAGCTTCCTTTGGGGTTTGAATTAAGAGGTAGATGGTCGGGTCATGGGTGGGTGGATGGATGGGGTTTTTCTAATTCAGATCTTACATGAATAGAATAAAAAAAACAAATGGAGAGATTAAACACATGAAGAATAACTCATCTGCATCTTGCTTATATTTTTTTTTCTTTTTTGGTTCTATTCTTAATCTACTCTTTTGCTTGAATAGACATTTCCAGATGAAGTTCTTGATCTGGAGAGATCTGTGCGCACTCTTGACTTAACACGCAACAAATTAGGTAATGCTTACTATTATTCTTATTATTGTTTTCAATCAAGTGTGTGAATATTTTCCTGCATGTAAATATAATGAAGCTTTAGGTCATGTACGGTGAAGTTGATCCCTTCTTCCCTTTTCTCTGCAGTTGACATTCCTATGGATATCAGCAAATTAATCAACATGCAACGCCTGGTAAGACCTGCATTTCGCAGTTGCTTACATTCATTATAGCTATATTTGGAGGCATGATTCAATAGAACTCGTATGAAAGCTATTTATTGATAATTCAGAATTTTCAAACCTTCAATTTTTTTAAAAGACAATGAAACTACTTTTTCACCAAGTTAAGAATTATAGCATATACATTGCTTATTTTGACTTCAGATTGACAAAATATTTACGTATACTTTCAAAACTTGATGTTATGTGATGTACACTTTTTCCAGTTGAACCATTGCCTTTTGTGCTGTCACCAGATGAAAAAAAAGCTTAATCTTTTTAATATCCTCAACTTATGATATGAATATTTGCACATACTCATTTTAATTTTTTGTAATTTTTAATGATGCACTGGTGCACGGTAGTCTTCTAGGCAAAACTTTGAGTATTTGCTAAAGAACTTTTCCTGTTTCAGGCCTTAGCTGATAATCTTATTGAGAGACTACCAGTGAATTTGGGGAAACTTCAATCTCTAAAAGTTATGACGCTTGATGGGAATCGAATCTCTTCCTTGCCTGATGAATGTAATATTTTTCTCTAAATAAGTAAGATATTTAGTTTAGTTTCATTGCTTTCATGGTTCGTCAAAATTACCTTCATCGCTATATTTGCAAGCTTCATTGGTCATTTTCTTTTTCCTGCTTTTGGTATAGGATTCTTGGAGTGACTTTTTGTCCCATAAGATGGTGTAGTTGTGTTAATTGTATTTGAATTTCTTTTGTCTAGTGGGCCAGTTGGTGAGGCTTGAGCAGTTATCCATCTTAGGAAACGTATTAACCAGCTTGCCTGAGACTATTGGGAGCTTGCGCAATGTAAGTTACAATGTTTGGTGAATGAATTTCTTGCAGTTGTTTTACCATTGCCATATATTTGCATGTAGTCAGAGTGAAATCATGGAAATTCTGACCTTGAACTTTTGGTAATCCTGCATCTTTATTAATTTGCATTGTGGAACTTAGAATTTACAGAAATATTTTTTTAAATGATTAGAATTGCTTATACCAACAAAACTTCTTTAAACTTTACAACCATGGGTAATGGTTCCTTCAAGAGAGACATGACCTTGGTGACCTTGTGCAGTGCCCTTGAGAAAGCGAAGGATTTATTTGATTTATTATTTTAATTGATTTGATATCCATCTGACCTGGATTCCAATAAAACATTGAAATTAAATTTCATTTGCTGGGTGTGGGAATCTTATAGGTATTAAGTAAAGCTTTAAAATGCCGGTTGGGGAGCATTCCTTAAAGTCTGTTTATTGTCTATTTCGCTTTTGCAATACTGACTAGAATTGATTTCTTCCTTCTTATGTGATTTATGAGTTAACGATAAAGAGTTGTTGTATAGGTCCTAAAAATGTAGTTATGATTTTCCTCGTTGGGTGTTGTGATTTTGACTCATTGATGGTTCAAGCAGGGGTCAGAATTATGCTTATTGATTAGATTCATGGAGCAACTAGAACTAACTGAGATTTTTTCTTCAGAGTGCTGCTACTTCTTTGTTTGTACTTTTGGCTTGTGAGATGATCCATTTAGCACATCTCTCTTAAGTTCTGGAATCTAATTTGGAATGTCTGATTTTGCAGTTGGTTCTTTTGAATGTATCTTCTAATAAGTTAAAGTCTCTTCCAGAATCAATTGGGAGTTGCTTCTCTTTGGAAGAATTACAAGCAAACGGTACGTCTGAATCACTTTTTTTTATTCTTTTAATTGCTATCCACTTTGCTACTTTGTAATTGTTACATAATTAAGCATCAAAGATAGTATGAGGTTTAGAGTATTAGAAAGATATGCAATGTTTAACCCACTATTTGATGTAGTTGTTTAACATCGGTCTTTTATGTTCTTTTTTCTAAACAATACAACTAGAAAGATATGCAATGGTTTTTTTTTTTTCTTTTAGATATGATAATTGGCTACCCCTTGGTACAACTCGAACTCAAGACTGGGGGGATGCTTTCAACCATGCACCCCTCTATCCATCCGGCCACAAGTGGGTGGTTAAGATATGCAATGTTTAGCCCATGTAGTTTTACATAGGTCTTTTACATTCCTTTTTCTAAACTGTACTATGCAATTTTACTTTGTCGTCTAGATGGAGATTATTTTTATTTAATTAGTTTCCATTGATTAGAGGTGCATGACAACAACCTTTTCATAATATATGCAAAATCTTGAAATTTAGTAAGTAAGCCTCTTAACATTCTACCATCAAATTACCCAGAATATTCTAGCGTCAAATTCTGTTGCCGCACCATGCGTGATCTTTTTACCTTCTAATTACACGGTGGCCAAGTATTTCTGCTGAAGGAGTGAACAACTGTGATAAGGTTTTAGACAGTTTGTCCTTCCCAGTAATTTTTCTAACACAATATTTTAAAGTTTTTGCAATCTTAGTATTTGTATCATATTGTTGCATGTTCTTTTTTCTTCTTGCTTTTCCCTCTTTATTTCTCATGCCTGTTTGTGGCGCTAATGCCATGGTGGCAATATTAGTATGTTATTTATGTTTCACTAAGCTGTATGAATTTCTTTAAGTTGCAGAAAATCTTATTGAGGATCTTCCTGCATCAGTTTGTAATCTCATTCACTTAAAGTCCCTTTCCTTAAACAATAATAACGTGAGCCAGGTAGTTAACATGTAATTTCAGTCTTAATTGCTTTCTGACATCTACATTTAAGATAGTTTATCCTTTATCTAATCATTTTCTATGCGGAAATTTAAGACAGTAGATCCATTATCTAATCATTTTTTTATTTGTACATTTAAGATATTAGATCCGTCATCAAATCATTCTTGAGTTATTGAGTTGGAAGTATGTTAGCTTAATAGGATTCTTTTTCTTTTCTTTCCCCTAAATTGTTGATTTACAATTTTGCATGATAATTAAAGCCTCAATTGAAAAATGCCCGTGGAAGAAGAACATCTTATTATTATTGTCTGTTGTGGGCTGCTCTGACTGCCAACATTTTGCCACTGGAATCAATATTTCAAGATTTTAGATCTCTTTATTCTGATTTTATGTCGTATTAATACTTTCTTGATTTGCAGATACCTAATAATCTGTTGAAGGATTGCAAAGCGTTGCAGAATATATCCCTGCACGATAATCCAATTTCAATGGATCAATTTCAGCAGGTAGGTCATATTGGCTTGACTTGCTTTTCAAGTTTTTCGGCAGAAACAGAGAGTTTAGTATGTAAACACTGAACTTTATAAAATATGAAATTTAGATGGAGGGATTCCAAGAGTTTGAGGCAAGGAGAAAGAAGAAGTTCGACAAGCAAATTGATTCTAACGTAATGATCAGTTCTAAAGGCCTCGACGAGGGGGTTGATTTATAAGGTCATGGCAGATGTAAATTGTGATTAATCTTTTTGCAGCTTGGGACAGATACAGATACAGATAGCAGTAGCAATAGCATTTTGGTATTTATATTTTATGGTATTTATTTACGCACCAAACACATTTGAAACAATGTAAATGATATAGATCTTTGGGTTTCCCTGCAGATATCTCTATAGATTGACAAAATATTTACGTATACTTTCAAAACTTGATGTTATGTGATGTACACTTTTTCCAGTTGAACCATTGCCTTTTGTGCTGTCACCAGATGAAAAAAAAGCTTAATCTTTTTAATATCCTCAACTTATGATATGAATATTTGCACATACTCATTTTAATTTTTTGTAATTTTTAATGATGCACTGGTGCACGGTAGTCTTCTAGGCAAAACTTTGAGTATTTGCTAAAGAACTTTTCCTGTTTCAGGCCTTAGCTGATAATCTTATTGAGAGACTACCAGTGAATTTGGGGAAGCTTCAATCTTTAAAAGTTATGACGCTTGATGGGAATCGAATCTCTTCCTTGCCTGATGAATGTAATATTTTTCTCTAAATAAGTAAGATATTTAGTTTAGTTTCATTGCTTTCATGGTTCGTCAAATTACCTTCATCGCTATATTTGCAAGCTTCATTGGTCATTTTCTTTTTCCTGCTTTTGGTATAGGATTCTTGGAGTGACTTTTTGTCCCATAAGATGGTGTAGTTGTGTTAATTGTATTTGAATTTCTTTTGTCTAGTGGGCCAGTTGGTGAGGCTTGAGCAGTTATCCATCTTAGGAAACGTATTAACCAGCTTGCCTGAGACTATTGGGAGCTTGCGCAATGTAAGTTACAATGTTTGGTGAATGAATTTCTTGCAGTTGTTTTACCATTGCCATATATTTGCATGTAGTCAGAGTGAAATCGTGGAAATTCTGACCTTGAACTTTTGGTAATCCTGCATCTTTATTAATTTGCATTGTGGAACTTAGAATTTACAGAAATATTTTTTTAAATGATTAGAATTGCTTATACCAACAAAACTTCTTTAAACTTTACAACCATGGGTAATGGTTCCTTCAAGAGAGACATGACCTTGGTGACCTTGTGCAGTGCCCTTGAGAAAGCGAAGGATTTATTTGATTTATTATTTTAATTGATTTGATATCCATCTGACCTGGATTCCAATAAAACATTGAAATTAAATTTCATTTGCTGGGTGTGGGAATCTTATAGGTATTAAGTAAAGCTTTAAAATGCCGGTTGGGGAGCATTCCTTAAAGTCTGTTTATTGTCTATTTCGCTTTTGCAATACTGACTAGAATTGATTTCTTCCTTCTTATGTGATTTATGAGTTAACGATAAAGAGTTGTTGTATAGGTCCTAAAAATGTAGTTATGATTTTCCTCGTTGGGTGTTGTGATTTTGACTCATTGATGGTTCAAGCAGGGGTCAGAATTATGCTTATTGATTAGATTCATGGAGCAACTAGAACTAACTGAGATTTTTTCTTCAGAGTGCTGCTACTTCTTTGTTTGTACTTTTGGCTTGTGAGATGATCCATTTAGCACATCTCTCTTAAGTTCTGGAATCTAATTTGGAATGTCTGATTTTGCAGTTGGTTCTTTTGAATGTATCTTCTAATAAGTTAAAGTCTCTTCCAGAATCAATTGGGAGTTGCTTCTCTTTGGAAGAATTACAAGCAAACGGTACGTCTGAATCACTTTTTTTTATTCTTTTAATTGCTATCCACTTTGCTACTTTGTAATTGTTACATAATTAAGCATCAAAGATAGTATGAGGTTTAGAGTATTAGAAAGATATGCAATGTTTAACCCACTATTTGATGTAGTTGTTTAACATCGGTCTTTTATGTTCTTTTTTCTAAACAATACAACTAGAAAGGATATGCAATGGTTTTTTTTTTTTTTAGATATGATAATTGGCCACCCCTTGACAACAACTCAAGACGGGGGGATCTTTCAACCAGCCCCTCTATCCATCCGCCACAAGTGGGTGGTTAAGATATGCAATGTTTACCATGTAGTTTTACTGTCTTTTACATTCCTTTCTAAACTGTACTATGAATTTTACTTTGTCGTCTAGATGAGATTATTTTTATTAATTGTTTCAGATGTAGAGGTGCATGACAACAACCTTTTCATAATATATGCAAATCTTGAAATTTAGTAAGTAAGCCTCTTAACATTCTACCACAAAATACCCAGAATATTTACGTCAAATTCTGTTGCCGCACCATGCGTGATCTTTACCTTCTAATTATACGGTGGCCAAGATTTCTGCTAGGAGTGAAAAACTGTAAGGTTTTAGACGGATTGTCCTCCAATAATTTTTCTAAACAATATTTTAAGTTTTTGCAATCTTAGTATTTGTATCATATTGTTGCATGTTTTCTTTTCCTTCTTGCTTTTCCTCTTTATTCTCATACCTGTTTGTGGCGCTATGCCATGGTGGCAATATAGTATTATTTATGTTTCACTAAGCTGTATGAATTTCTTTAAGTTGCAGAAAATCTTTGAGGTCTTCCATCACATTGTAATCTCATTCACTTAAGTCCCTTTCCTTAAACAATAATAACGTGAGCCAGGTAGTACACATGTAATTTCAGTTAATTGCTTTGTGCTACATTTAAGATAGTTATTCTTTATCTAATCATTTCTATGCGGAAATTAAGACAGTAGATCCATTATCTAATCATTTTTTATTGTACATTTAAGATATAGATCCGTCATCAAATCATTTGAGTTGTAGTATGTTAGCTTATAGGATTCTTTTTCTTTTCTTTCCCCTAAATTGTTGATTACAATTTTGCATGATAATAAGCCTCAATTGAAAAATGCCCTGGAAGAAGAAATCTTATTATTATGTCGTTGTGGCTGTGTGGGCTCTGACTGCCAACATTTGCCACTGAATCAATATTTCAAGATTTTAGATCTCTATTCTGTTTATGTGTATAAACTTCTTGTTAGATACCTAATAATCGTTGAAGGATTGCAAAGCGTTGCAGAATATATCCTGCACATAAATCCAATTTCAATGGCAATTTCAGCAGGTAGGTCATATTGGCTTGACTTGCTTTTCAAGTTTTTCGGCAGAAACAGAGAGTAGTATGTAAACCCTGAACTTTATAAAATATGAAATTTAGATGGGGGATTCCAAGAGTTTGAGGCAAGGGAGAAAGAAGAAGTTCGACAAGCAAATTGATTCTAACGTAATGATCAGTTCTAAAGGCCTCGACGAGGGGGTTGATTTATAAGGTCATGGCAGATGTAAATTGTGATTAATCTTTTTGCAGCTTGGGACAGATAGCAGATAGCAGATAGCAATAGTATTGGTATTTATTATTTATGGTTATTTATTTAGCACCAAACACATTTGAAACAATGTAAATGATATAGATCTTTGGGTTTCCCTGCAGATATCTCAGTGAACATGAACCTTTATGATTGAAACTTTGTATATCAAAATCAATTTCATATTAATGAGGATTAGATGTACGACTTAAATTAGTAGAACAAATACAGAAGTAGTTATACTACATTTTTATTGTTAAATAACTCATAATCAATTTTACAAATCCTTCTACACAATCCAATGATGATAGTGTCCTCTTTGCAAACAAAACATATTTGTGAGTGATAATTCGAGTGTCATATTTAGTGGGTCTTTTTTTCTTATCCTTTATTAACCGTGTCTTTTTTAGTTGTTTACAAGTCTCACAATTCTCTTCATAGACTTTACGAGCTTATTACTTGTTTTGTTCGTGAGCTCATTTGATGATTAAAGATAGATGACAAACACTTTTCATTTTTTCTCACAAAAGCAATGATAGCTGTGCATTTGTCGGCAGACTATTGCGAGTAACAATTGTAGAGTGACACGTCTGTTTGTAAAGAAATTAATAGGAAGTGTTTATCAGAATAATATATTCATTTTAATATTCTCACTATTGAAATTCAAGACCACCCCATTTGATTATAAAATTTAACACTATTTTTTTTTAAAATATATAACAAATCTTATAAAGATGCTTTAATATTAGGGTGAATTGTTTTTAGAAATAGTTTTCAATAAAATTAAAATTAGTGTAAAATTAGAAAACGAATGAAAGTCATTTTCTAAATTCTTAAATATATTATCAAATATTTTCAAATATTACAATTCAAAAATTCAAATCAATTTTAGTTTTTGAAAATTACTTTTAAATCACAAATCAAATAGGCCAAAGAAATTGAAATTTCAACATAATAATTGAATAAGAAAGAAAAAATTATTTAAAAAAATGCGAAAAAGATCATTTTAATTTTAAATTTATATTAAAAATGATGATAAAAAGTACTTTCAGTAAGCAAATTACATTCCTCTCTCTAGTCTCACCAATAAAAACACGTTTGCAATTAAATAAAAAAATTGGCATAAAAATTTTGAAAATTTAGAGCCAAAATTTAATAAAACGCAATTTCCTCCCGGAAGAGCCACGTGTCGCTCACACTCGCGTAATCCAATCATAATCAACAACACAAATACCCATAAATAGAACATGCTTTATACCTCTCTCTAGAATCTCCCCTCCACCTCTCTTATCTTATCATCCTCGTCATTTCTGAGGGCACTCTCTGTAATTATAAATTCTCTGTCCTTTCTAGTCATTTCACACTTTTCTACTACATTTCTTCAGAAACCTAACCCTAGTCGTGCCCTTTTTCGTCAATAACTTTTCCTTCCGATCCCGTCTTTCCTCCCTTAATTCGATCGGTTTTCTTTTCATTCTTCGAATCGATCTCCGATTTGATTTTTCCTCTTACATCTGTCGATTGATACGGCTCGGCCGTGGCTCGAATCAATTTCTAGGGTTAGGGTTTCGATAATTTCCAGATCTGTGAAATCTCTTGTAGTAATTAAGCAGTTTTTCTCATGGGTTTGTTTTTTTCTCACGTCGTTCGTTTTATGTAAATTTGATTTCTCTCGGTTTCTAGGTTTTGATTTCTGACGGATTTTCGATGCTAGATCTGTAGTTTTGTGGCTCTTATGTAAAAATTATTCTATTTCTGTTCGGGGTCAGATCAAATTGTTGAATTTCGTAGTAATTCGGAAGATCTGGGTAGGTTTCAAAATTGGGGGTTCTAATTAGTTGTCAATGAGCTCAGGGGAAGCCTAATTTATCCATAATTACGTTTCGGCCTGCACCTGTTGTCGATTGAGCTACAAGTTTCGAATTTAGGGATCGTTGTAGTGTTTGAACATTGAAGACATTATAATTTAAGGTAAAAAATCAATACTGTTTTCTCAATTATGATGTCATATTCGATCATATTATATTATATTTTAATTAATCATAAAAGAGTACATTTTATTTTTACGTTTTTACAAAACTGCCCTATGCCCAATGTGAGTGGACCTGGCCCACCATCTGTAGTGATCAACCGAACGACAATGGCAATAAAATTTTTGTAAGAATTGATAAATGATACTTGAGATATGACATAACGGTTATTTTTGCTTCAATGCATGCATTAAGCTGACAAAATGGAATCTCTTTCATGGCCGCACAATGGCTAGAACTAGATACATAATAAAGATACTTGTTTAACATGTTGTTAGTACTTTCAAGCTTGCTTCTTCTTTTTTTTTTTTTTTTTTTTTTTTTTGAACTTTAACAATCAATTAGAATCATATGGTCTATTAGTTTGTATAAAATTTAATTGAATTTCATCTTTATGGCAGACAAACATGGTACAAAAAGGGCCTTTGAAGATGAGGAAACATTGGGGGTTTCTTCCAAGCATCCAAAGCAAGTGGAACATGGTGAGCGACCATTTTCATCCTTGAATATGTTTTTTCTGAAGTTTGTAGGAGAGAATCACTTTAGGTGAGGAGGTTGGTTCCACAAGTACGTTTAATGCTAAATTTGGGGTTTTAGTCATGTCTTACGCTTTTATAACAGGCATCTCAGCATTGTGAATGAGGGTACCATTTCAGCTGATGATTGTGTACCCTATTTTAATCTTCCTAATTGGCTTTGAACTCCGTGCAAGTTGCAAGTATTCTAAAGCAAATGTCTATTGTAGGAGCATTTGGATAGGAGTAATTAGTCACCATGCATGAGAATTACACATTAGGTTTTACCATTAGCACAGTCTCTGTTTGTTTTAGTTTTATGTACTGATGTTTTATTATCTCCCAACTCCAATTCTTGTTCGGCATAAATTTAGGAGCTAACTAAAAATGGCATTGATTATTTCCGATACGTATCCTTAATTTTACCTTGTTAGATGAATGTGCGAAATGGGTTCTGAGGAGTGTTGTATGGTGTAATTTGAAAGCTTTTTATTTTTATTTTTAATATGAAAACATATGTTTTATGATGGAAACACCCCTGATCATTGTATCCACCATTGTAGTGTTTCACTATCAGTCTTACTGAGTTGTAATGTGTTATGTAAAAGGGAGGGTGGAATTCAAAATAATACTCAAGCTGATGAAAAGCTAGCAAGTGATGACATAACTGAACGTCAAGCAAGTGCTGAGGATGTTGAAAGCAGTGGTCCTGGCTGCACCTCCATCTCTTCGGGCCAACCAGTGGTACCAGCGAAGAGGATTCCCACCCAGGGACACAGTTTTTGTACCGGGTATGCTCAGAATATTTAATCCTGAACGTGCATCTTGACAGGGGACATCCTAGGGATTC